TATTCTAGAGCTGATAGTGCAATATTGTATTACAGGATTTAACCCACTAGGTAAGGTTGGTAGCATAAGTGGCAAGCCAGGAGTTGGGCTACCACTATATATAAGCAGCTGATAAAAGTCCTGATGGGATTGTATGCAACCTGACTATAATAATAGTGTTGGAGGCATTATTGTACCTTGTATGTGTTGTACATGCTCTCTGTCTAGTAAATGTATATAATTTATTGGTGTTTGCCCTTGTCCTAGTGAGGCTTCCAAGAATGTAGGAGAGAGAGAGAGAGAACGAACCACAGCTGTGGACAGGGTGGTACAGAATTACAATTCAAAAAATGGGGGAGCGAGTTCATACCAACCAAGGAAGAGAGTGGGGAAGTCACAGCGGCTCGAATTGGGAGTCTACACGTGACAATGAGGCCAGTGTTGGAGCCACACCCCCTATAAGTGTGATGCTGAACCCCTCTCCGAGAGCAGGAAGCGTACATGGTGATCTGATCAAAGTACAAGCACTATGGGTTTTGGTTGGTTGTATGGAAGGGACGTACGCACCTGCCTACAACATAATAACGTACAGTGATATCTCTTTGAAAAGGAAATGAAAGTCCATTGATTGCATTAAGGCAGTCTCGGTAATATAGTTACGTACTTTAGGTTAATTTGTTGTTTTTTGAACAAATCCACAAGGGCCGTGACAAGGATTCGAACCTGCGTCCGAGAGCATCCTAGACACTGCCTTAATCGACTGAGCTATGACAGGGTGAAAAGGGTTGAAACCGAAGTTCTGGTTTGTGCCTTGGAGAGGCCACGGGATCCAGTAAGTCCAGTAGAACTTCGGTTTCGACCCTTTTCACCCTGTCGTAGCTCAGTCGATTAAGGCAGTGTCTGGGATGCTCCCGGACGCAGGTTCGAATCCTCATCACGGCCCTTGTGGATTTGTTCATTTGATGCATCACGTTATTGTGATCTCTGTGTGTGTTGTTGTTTTTTTACCTTCAGAGAAAAGTAAAGAAGGGCTTACTAATATTGGAGGTGGGATACACAGATGATTGTGGAGGCATCCCTTGATTTGAAGGTTCTTTTAATCGCCACAGCTTATAACATAGTCAGCAAATGTGGGCATATTCTTGCAAGTATATTTTTGCATTTTAAATGTGTTAATAAATACACACATTTTACTTCTATACTGTATTAGGTAATAAGGAAACTGCTTACTTTGTACTTTATTGTTTCATTAAAACAGATCAGGAAGGCCTACTTCTAATGTTTGTTAAAAACAAACTGAAAAAATACACCTATAAAAAAAACAAGCATTCAAAACACACAGCTTTTCAAGTGTTTGTTCACAACATTTTAAATTAACACTTGCCAAACATGCATCAATGGTTAAATGTACAAATACACCAATATATGACAAAACATTAAAATTCAAACTATTCAGTTAAATGATCCACAAAACTATCTTTACACCACCACTTTTGATACAAAAAATAAAGTATTTAAGTTCTCTTCTTGCATGATTTTATTATGGAAAATATCAAGATTCCTTTCATATTGGGAACAATCTACAGCATGTAGTTTAATATATATATATATATATATATATATATATATATATATATATAAAGAAATATTACATCGTTACTAGTTACTTCACTTCAGAACTATTACTGTGTAAGGGCCTCCAGGGCCTGGGGGATAGGCTTGGGACGAAATCCCGAAACCCTCTCCAGGTATGATCCAGTAACCTCAAAGTGATTTGATTGACATTGCAGCCTGAAATACCAAATTATCATTTACACGTTTAAACAGATTTTACATTATTTGAGGCACTTAATATTTTGACTAATAAAATATCACCTTTGGTATTCCAGTAAACAAGTTGCAAAGGGAAACCGACATTCACACTAAAAAAAATAAACACTGTAAACAGACTCATCGACGTTGAGTCACAATACACAGGAGTGTGTTGAACTTGACATTAATTTCTTTTTGTTGTTCAGTCTTGAAAAATGTTTCCATAAACTTCTCTTTCAACTGGGTAAGGCTGGGAATTGCAGAACAGGAAGGCACATTCAAAAGTGTGGAAAACAACATTTGCCATAGGTCTTTCTGCCAATACCTGTACCAAAGAAAAGAGAAAATTAATATGTTGATTTTCTGTAAAATTTGCAAACTGGATTAACCCGTACCCTACAACTACTGGACCTACAACTACTGGATGGAATATGGAAAAATACATAGTTGTATAAAAGTATTAGTTATATACATTTATTGAATGTAATCAAACGCCATTTTTCTCGATGAGACCCGGAGGCTCCCCGGAGCTATACCAGGCTGATGTGTATATATTAGACTGTGGCAACAGTCAATCGAAGGAGTTCTAGCCTACCGGGGACCACAGCCAGAACCTTGCCCCCCTCAAGAAGAGGCACGAAGAGCAGCAATGGCCTAAAGACACCCCCGTGTAATTGGAAGCAGTGTTTGTCTGTCATCTACCAGATCAGGCACCCAGAAAGGTAGGAATTCCAAAACAAACTACTGGTGGTCAAAAATTGCAAATTGAAAGCCAAACTAGCAAACAGAACTCGCCAATCAAAAACAAGGAAACTAACATGACGTCATCACAACCGTCGCGCATCCGTCTGCACAACCCACCCACTCCCTGGGTGGGGGATCAGGGGTCCCAGACCTCCACGCTGGCAACTCTCCTCAGTTCAGGGGCCAAGTATCAAAAACTTGAAAAAAACGCCGACCAGGGAGCCTCTGGGTTTCACCCAGAAAATGGTGTTTCATTACATTCAAGGCTGGTTTACTGTGGCGAGCACCTTTGGCTCCCCAGAACTACCTAACCAAAAATAAGAAAAGGGACTTACCTGGGAGGCGGTTGTCACTCGTTCCTCAACTTGAAGTCGAGACAACTGGCCGCAACCTGCGACCCAAGACTATATACGCCTGAGAAGGGCCAGGAACATTAACAAGGTACCGTGCAGCTAGGACCCTGTTCGACCTCCAAAAGCCCCGTATCCGTATGATAGGCTAGGGCATATTACCAAAAACAGCAGCCAAAGCTGCGAACTTACGAACAGCGCGTGGGCACGGGGAAAGACCACAGGCCTGTGGTCTTTTCGAATTGCCTGGACCGAATAATCCTGCGGCCAACCTGGGAGACCTGCACCCTGGAATAAGGAAGAAGGGAAACCGGGTCAACCCAAAGAGCGTCCTCTGCCACAGAGGCCGTGGTACGGAAATAATGGCGAACAGCCACAACCGGACAAAACATGATGCACCCTGCAGAACCAACAAAGCATCAGCAACCCAAGGACCCCTTCGGAAAACAGCTGACTCATTCTTCGCCAGAAAACAAGAACGGCGGCAAACGAAGAAACGACCACCAGGACCAAAAGAGCAGAAACCACTGTGCCGGAAGAGAGCATGAAGCTCTCCACCAACCCCCAGAGGCCAATGCCAACAAGAAAAGAACCATAGAAAAACAGTCCTGAACCGAGGGGGCCCTCCACAACCTGAGGAGAAGAGAGAAAAGCGAGCACCCAGCCCAATGACCAGGATGGCTCATGACCAGGCCAGAGGTGAAAAAACCAGCATTGAATGTAATGAAACGTCATTTTCTGGGTAAGACCCAGAGGCTCCCCGGAGCTTATCCAGGCTGATATGCTAATGTCAGACTTTAATGTCCCCCCAAAGCCCCGGCCTGACAAGAAAAAACCGGGGCAGCCGCAAAAAATACTAAGGAAGGGAGCAGACTGGCAGGCTCATACAACACGGCTGGAGGAACAGGCTCGAATGCCCCCGTCGCTACCCCAGAAGGGGAATTCCCCGAGATAGCCCGAGTCTCAAAGTCATTTATTGGACTTAAGCAATCGAGTACATTAATATTTTCTTTAATTCTTATTAATTATAGGATCATAACTAAACTATTTATATTTAATTATCATTAAGATTAAATTTGCCTATATTTATTATTCAACTTTTTTTTCTTGGCTTTCATTATTACCTAGGTTGCATAGCCTCGCCATACTCCCTTACTCCATTGTACCCCTGGCTTTGCCTGTGTCTCAAAATGCAAATTAATACTTTCAGTGTACCTGAGAGTACTTGTAACCAATCTAACTCATATTTTTTGTTCGTTTTGTGTTTTCTTGTATAGTCTTGTATATATTTATATTTTCTCCCTCTTTTATATCAAAATTTGTTTATTTTGTAATTGCCTCCCCTCCCCTCCCTTCATTATCCTTCCCTTCCTGGTGGTGGTGTACGAGTGTTAGGCCGCTGATGCGGCCAAATATCCGCTAGTCTGACTTCCATGAACATTTTGGCTCGATAAGGAGATACAGTAACTTCATCCGGCCATGATTTTTGCCGGTTTAGGGCATTTTCCGGATTAGCGGGTTTCTACAGTACTCCTTTTGCTGTTATTACACTAATACACACATTACATGTATCTACATTTGTGTTCACTACAGCGAACCACTAAGCTGATATGGTGAGTGCAGACAAGTGGCCACACAGATTCAGCAGACGACGCTACCTCCCTCCCCCACCTCAGCATTAATTATCACAACAATCCTGCTATTATCACAATCCTAGTAATTTTTAGCACAGTCAGGGGTCTTCTGTAATACTGTCATCTTTAATTAATAGCAGTTACATATTTATTTTGACATTTTTTAGGCAATGCTGCAGTCACAAGCTGAACAGCAGTGCTGTTAGCTCATGCTTCGTGCACCAGCCTTGATTGCTCACACAGTACTGTGACTCTCACACCAGAAAATGTTGCCTATGATTTTTTTTCTAAACATGGTGTCTGTTTACAAGAGCCTTGAGGAAGCTGATGTGAACACCGTGTAGCCGCGGGCAATTTGAATTGTGGCTGGCACCCTACGTTGTATATATATGCCATGCACATGGCGGGACATGTTAGTCCTGCCGTATATGTATATGCCACGCGCAGTTTAAGGGTTAAAGAAAATTGGACCCATCTGACTAAAACATACTGCAAATGGCTGCCAAAACAAAACAATTGTGCAATCTTTTGATATTATTGTCAAAATAATATCAGAAGGTTTTGATATTTTGACAATATCAAAACCTTTACTTTGATATTTTATTAGTCGTTTTTTTTTATTACAAAATACAAAATTTGTAATAAAATTTGTGGCCAGAAAATACAACAGAGTAGCCGGCAGCGGGAGTGTGAAGAAAAGTGTACTAGGAAAAGGCACTTCAGAATTGGAGGGGTAGAAGCCTCGTTTTTTGTTTTGTTTACAAAATACCAAATTTGTAATAAAATATGTGGCCAGAAAATACAACAGAGTAGCCTGCAGCGGGAGTGCGAAGAAAAGTGTACTAGGAAAAGGCATTTCAGAATTGTAGGAGGGGTAGGTAGAAGCCTTTGCCATGTGGGTCAAGATTTTCCTAAGTTTGCTAAGTGGGACCCTCCATGGGGGCCAGGATGGAACGACATGGAGAAATATTGGCAACACGAACCGAGAGAATCTTGCAAATGAGACAACTGCACTGAAAAAGTAAGATTGTGAAAGGGAATAGGATCCACTGGAGGGGTAACTGTCAAAGCAGAACATAAGCGAGAGTGAGGATGTTGTAGGAACTGTACAAGGTAGCGAAGACAGTAGCGATCAAGATACAGCACGTATCAGTTTGGATAGCTTCAGGGAGCCTCCGGGGCTCACCCAGAAAATGGCATTTCATTACATTAAACACTAGTTTTCTGTGGGGAGCCCCATTAGCCTCCTGAAGCTAACTACCCAAAGTAAAAACAAGTACTTATCCGGGAGGCAGCACTACCTCCAAGGAATATGAGGTCTGAAGATAAGGAAGAAACAGACGGCCAACCTAAGGCCACACAAAGTTGGGAAGTAAACGTAACGTCCACAAGATACCTGGCGGCCAGAACCCTGTTCGATCTCCAAAACCCCCGCATCCGAATATCGACCCAAGACATGTAGCCAAAAAGCACCACAAGAGCAGCACACTTCCTATCATGGGGACTAGGGTAAACCGCAGGCTTAATGATACTGTGGAGAACCCGATACACATGAATCCTGGAACAGGGAACCAGGGAAACCGGAACCACCCAGAGTATGTCCAACGACACAGAACCAGTGGCCCACAGGTAGCGAAGACTGGCCTGTGTCCATCATTAGAGCCTGAGTGAAAAATGTTCAGCATCCACCACTTTAAATAATGCAAGATTTTGTTACAACCCTCTCACACAAAATGATAGCCAATCGGCAATTCTAATTATTATATTTGAATTCAGCACGTCAAAATGCATGATAAACTGCTCTTTTCGTCTCAGAAGCAGACAACTTTAGAAAAATTTTGACTAGTGTAATTTATCTGCACATACCAATAATTATGATGATAGCTAGTAATAAACTTCTTGCACTGCAGTTTCATTGAATTACAATGTATTATACATTGGAGTCAAATATACACACAAGTCATATATAGCTATCTATATTTGCATAAACCATAATGAACTAAGTAATTCCAGTGGGTGTGGTAATGAAATCTTAGCACAGTAGCAAGCAAATAATATCAACAGATGCCATCAGTATGTACTACGCACATCATTAAGTCACTAAGAACATCACAACACTGCTATTATCATCAGATTCCTGTCACTAAATCCCTAATATGAATAATTTTCTAAAGGAATATGAGGTGAAATACTGACAGCCCTTTTCAAGGCGAGAGAAATTGCTAACCTGGAGAGCGTTCAGAGATCCTTTATTGCTAGAAGCTACTCGGTAAAACATCTAAGCTATTGGGACCGCCTAAAATGCCAAAATTTGTATTCTCTAGAGAGCAGTCAGAAGAGATACATAATAATTTACACATGGAAAATATTAGAGGGGCTAGTCCGGAACCTGCACACAGACATACTGTACCATCACACGAGACCAGAAGGCATGGCAAGATGTGCAGAATACTCCCATTGAAAAGCAGAGGTGCAACAGGTACTCAGGAAGAACTATCAACAACAGAGGCCCGAGACTGTTTAACACGCTTCCACTACACATAAGAGGCATAACTGGCCGACCCCTCACAGTGTTCAAGAGAGAACTTGATAAACACCTCCAAAGGATACCTGATCAATCAGAGTATGATTAATACGTCGGGCTGCAAGCAGCTGCGTCCACAGCCTGGTTGACCAGTCCAGCAACCAGGAGGTCTGGTCGGGGATTAGACCATGGGGACATTGAGCCTCGAAATCATTGCGAGGTAACCACAAGGTAAGATGTTGCATGATGCATTCAGGCAAGAAACCTCAGCTGTGAACATCACAACTAGCACTGTGTTCAATTATATCTGAACCTTGTATATAGTTTTTATTACAGTCAGGATCATCTATGCCACTATCATCACAAAATTATTGCAGTTACTTATTTTATTAATCATTATTAAGTAGTGCTGTGAGCTCCAGCTGCGTGCACCAGCCTTAGTCGCTGTGGCAGTATTGAGGCTCTCAAGAGCCAGGAGGGATGCAGACAATTTATTTTTGTCAATATCGCATTTGTTTACTGGAGTCCTAAAGACCAGGATATGAGTGCAATGTACCCGCTGGAGTTTTGAATCTTACGATACATGTACTAACAAATGTGAAGTTAGTTGGAGCACACCCATTAACAATGACATCGTGGTTTGTACAGTGCAATGGTTGTTACATTCTCCCTTACTGATTGTATTGATATCTACTATGTATCATTGAACTGGTGATTAATATCTAAGTGTCCAGAGTCAGTTATTCCATTCCTTCCTTTCCCCATAACCCCCTTTGGAACTTGGTGGCCCACAGTCATTCGAGCATAATGACATGGCTCTGTCAGTGGCCAAGATCTCATTCCTGCACTGAGTCGGGGGAAAACCCTCTTAGCTTATATTTTCTTGTAATACTCACAGTTCCCTGAAACCATATAAACTTAATTCAGGGTGGTGGCAAAATAGTATATAAGATATCCCAAGGTCAGGTACACCAGACATTAATAAGGGCTACAGAGTGAGGTGAGGGGGCAGTATCAGAAATCACAAAAGCATGGACTTCTAGTCCAATAAATGGACTAGAGTACTTTTATAAATATGCAGGCAATGACTGTTATAAATGCTTTCAGCAAATACTGGCATGCATTTTAAAGTGTCTGTGGTCATGTATGAGGTTTTATAAATGTTGGCATAGTGTTATAACCCTAACACTCCTGTACCAATATCTATTGTCCAACCAAAGCTGATTTTCCGTGGAAAGAATTAACCACCATCACATTTCTTCACCTGCAGGAATCTTAATATTACAGTTTTTCTTCGACAAGTGAGCCCTTGTGGGGAACAATGTTTTATCATGCAAGAAATTTTTTATTTTTAAATAGTAATAAGGTATTATAGTGAATTCAGATACAGTATTGAAGAATAAATTTGAATTCAAATGTACACATTCTTCTGTAATTAATATTGACTTGGTGTACATACACATGCATTCAGCCATTTATATATATAGCAGGTGACGTCAGCAATACTGTCTGCCGAGAACAACTTGGTCTTTATTGCTCATTCAGAGAGGATAATTTCATTTTTAAATTTTTTCCGTTCTATTGATAAAATTTTATATACTTCTAAAGGAAAAATTATAAAATATTTGTTTGTTCATACAAGAGCTGAAGTTTGAAAATTATTTAAATGTTTTGGGTTTACAGGATTTCTTTAATCTGATAAAACATTTACTAAAAATATAACTTATGTCTAGCAATTTGAGACTATAAGGATGCAAAACAATATTGAAAATCCAAACAATTAATACAGTAATTAAAAGAAATATTCACTAAATACATGCAAGTGCAAAAAACTCGTACTGTACCTTTTAAAAACAGGATTCTTGATGTTCCATTTACTATTGGGCAGTTTCACAATTTCCATGTAATTCCCAAACAGTAAACAATGAGCTATTGCAGCAACTCCATATAAATCTGTCTGGTAAGTCCATGGCTGACCATCTCTCATTTCACAGCATGTAAATCCCTCTGTTGTCACCTATTAATCAAGATTAATCAATCAACTGCATGTTTATAAACGCAGGATATATTTATAATGTTTATCATGTTCTAATTCCTATTAACACACATTTCCATACCTTTAAATTGAGTCCTGTACAATTCTGCCAAATCAAGACATCATCTTTAATTCAAAGATGGTAATGATGGATAACAATTTATAATAGTAGGCCAAGTAGAAAACTTGAGCTATTCACAAAGTTGACATTCTTGATCATTATGATCTACATGTATTGGCAACATCCAGTAAATAGAGAATTCTAAAATGTGTCATTAGACAAGAACTCTCCAACAAATTTAAAGAAAGTAGATGAGTGCAGACAGGAACTAGCCAATTTATTGTTTATAGCAATGATGAGTGTTAAAACATTTGTATGGAGAAGTGACAAAAAGAGAAGACTGACACATTACCATAGCTTATATACAATTTGACTGCAAGTATCTCTTGACAGTTTAGCTTGTATGGGGATGTAGATGACATGAAAATGTAAAGGCTGTGGGTAAAGACAGGGACACACTAGATTATTACATATTATACTGTGTGAAAACTGTGTCTTTTAATGAAATCTAAACGCATGTTGCATGAAATGGCATATAATAAGCCAGACCCTCCCTGGACAGAGGCCAGTCTCTCATAATATATTGAAATCTTTCACACAGCTATCCCACTCACAATGAAAACAGCAGTACTTTGTGCCTGCTTGATGGGGTTCTGGGAGTTCTTCTACTCCCCAAGCCTGGCCCAAGGCCAAGCTCGACTTGTGAGAGTTTGGTCCACCAAGCTGTTGCTTAGAGCGGCCCGCAGGGCCACATACCCATCACAAGAGCAACAACCTTCAAGTCGCACCAGAGCTGCCGCTGATGTTGGTAATCGTTTATGCATTTCATAAGTTGCTTTGTGTTGTCATAAGTTTATATAGTTTCTTTCATATAAGCTGCATAACCCAATGGAATTGATGGTATAACATTCCCATTATGCAGCAAAACAGCTTTTAGACTAGCCTTGGATAGAAACTAGAAATATTCAATAATTTTAAACAGCATTTTCCATTCTCAGTGACTCAGAATCCAACCCATCCTCACATTAGGCTGTTTAAGGCAGCGGCCGTTCTCCCCCAATGCATACACACTATGTTAAAATTAATGAATTAAAATTTGGTTTGTTCTCATATATAAACTATTATTATTATAAAAATTCTATGTATAGTTAGGCGTAGGTTTGGTTAGGAGTTTAGATTCCATTGGCGATTATTTGTATTTGAAGTACGTGGGTAAATTATTTATAGAATTGTGGTTCAAACAGAGGACGTGGACAAAGCACTTGTTCCAGAAGTACAGGCATACCTCAGAATAAGAGTTTAATCCGTTCCTGGAGACGCCTCGCCTTCCGAAAACTCGCATTCCGAAGTTAATTTCCCCATAAGAAATAAAGGGAAATGAATTAATCCGTTCCTGACTACCCCAAAAACCCCACATCAAACTAAATTTTTATACCTAATTTACCTAATTCATCTAAATAAACCTACAAAACTATGTTCCAGTTATTACTTACCTTGCTGTCGAGTGCTGTAGGCGTATGGAAGATGGTGAGGAGGGGGAGGAGGAGAGGAGTTACTGTTTGGAAGGGGAGTCCCCTTCCATAATCACATCATATAACCCCATGCCTTGTAACACTATGGATACCACTTCTCTTTCTAAATTTTTCAAACCAGCCCCTGCTTGCCTTAAACTCTTTCTTATCTGCATCACTCGTTGCAGGGGTATTCTTTAGAAGGACTTCGTGCAACACCCTGGCTTTCTCACAAATAATGGCCTCCGAAACACTATCACCCCTCAACTCCTTGTCGTGTATCCAAATTAATAACAACTTTTCCACTTCTTCAAGTATTTGTGGTCTTTGTGCCGTTAATGTTCTTACTCCTTTTGCCACTTCAGCACCCATAATCTTATTTTTCTTCTTAAGTATAGTGCATATTGTTGATGTGGCTTTGTTGTACTGCCTACAAAGTTCAACAACACGTGTACCGTTCTCATGCTTCCGAATGATCTCTTGTTTCTCCTCTATTGTCATCCTCACATGAGCTTTCTGGCCTTTATCCTTACCACTGGCTTTCTTGGGACCCATGGTGAGATATATAATAACAAATTGTATAGACAAATCACCAAAAATCCAACAAAACACTGAAAATCCGCAAGAAGAATTGATGTGGGGGTAGTCACTGAGCGCGAGACAATAATAAACTGAGGGGCGGCGGGGCGGAGGGGCGACGAACGCGCTAGGTCGGCTGTACGCGTATCAACAAACTCGCGCCCAAACTCGCCTACCGAAGTAACCCTCGCCTTCTGAGACAAATTTTTGGAGTAAATACACCTCGCCTTCCGAAAACCTCGCATACAGGGACAATCGCATTCCGAGGTACCACTGTATTCGGACGTCATCAGTTGTGAGTCGTGTGTAAACCGCTTTTCATTCATTAATGGGGGGTTTGGCAGTGGGATTAATGAGCTTGGATTTTTATATGCAAGGATGGACTGCAGAATCAGTCAAGATTGACTTCATTTGTTTCAGTAGCATTTTGGTTATGGATCAGTATTGTATAAGCTAATTAATATCCATTGAGGTCTGATTATGACCTTTAGTGTCTCAGTAATCTTTTGTGCAACTACTCATAGGATAAGTATGAAGGTGCAAAATAAACACGCTCCTAGCAGCAACAACCAATCAGAAGATGAGAATTGCAGTATTAAAAGAAAAAATGGCCTCTTTCTAGTTAGGCCTTCATGGCTTCCTGTGGAGCCCACTTGGATAGCTTCACACATTGGAATTACATCAGCCCTCAGGAGTTCCTTAATAGCCTACTGGAGATAGAACCTGGTCTCTTCACAGTAGGTACTGGGAGTAGGGAATTATCATCTTCCTCCTCATCACAAAAACATCCAGAAAATAAGCAAAGCAGAACAGACAATTGCAAGGTTCACCAACCCGTCCTCGACTCAAGTGCATCACATCCAGCGATTGACCCCACAGACACCAGGATATTTACCAGGAAGGAGGAAGAGATATTTGACATTCAGTACCTTCCTCCCTTGGGTAAAAGTGACTGGAACATTAGTCAATGGAGTTCAGCCTACCAGGAACCATGAGTCAGAACCTGGCCCTCTCAGAGACACAGGTAGCAATGGCCCCTGGAACACCCCCCCCCTGTGGTTGGGGTTTTTCCTTATCTGCCATCGAACAGGGTTAGGCACCCCAGAACTGAGTTAGGCATAACAAAACAGACCCCACATGGTAAGAAAATTGAAACGAAAAACCGAACAGAGGCAGGTCTCCCTCAATTCCCAAGGAAATAAGCAAACGTCAAGGGGGTGATTTACTGGCATTTCACACTGAGTATTATTCTCAATATTATTATAAATTACTCTCCACCACTCATAACACAGGGCTCAATTGACTTAAAACCAGCTCTGGCCTGATAGAACCCTCATCAAACACTCCTGATGCACAGATCAGGGACCTAACCAGTTAGGTACATCTCTGGCCTGATCTGCTAAAAGAGGCAGAGCCTTGCAAAAATGCCAGGGGTCAGACACGGGACCCAGAAAGCAACATTGAGTTGGCCATCAAGGAGCCTGAAGGATCACCCTATATAAATCTCCAGTCTAGTTAACAGCAGGACCAGAGGAGACAAAAGAACTCCTATATCGACCAGTCCAGCCATAAGAACAGGAGCCACGTGGGATGGAAGTAGAATAGAAGTTCATCAGGAACCTGAACCTGACAAGCTAGGAAAGAACCAGATCACTGGCACAAAGTCCCCCCCCCACCCCCCAGGAGACACAGCAGGGTCACAACTAACCGTGCTAACCAGGTAAATATTCAAGGAGCTAGATTCAGGCCAAAGGTTAAAACTCTGAAGCAGTAAGATTGATGTCAAAGAAATCCTAACCAGTCTCCAAACATCAGGTCAATGGGATCATGCCAGTATGCATCTTTAAGGTTCAAGGAAACAATCCAAGAATTTACCTGAAACATCAAGCAAACTTGAGATAAAGTTGTCATGCAAAAGGTCAAATGGAAAGATGCTGCTCAAACTCGAGAGGTCTGACGAGTCTGGCTTGGGGACCAAGAATTGGGACACCTACTGGAGAGAGGGGATTAACTTGACCATGTGAGAGACCAATGCATTACAAGTTGTAATGCCAATGGACCACCCAAGGAGCCCAAGAACAGGAACTGGCAAAATGAACCAGACAAACATCCCCCACACAGCGCCATCAAAGGGGTGAACCGCAAAATGGGTAGCATAAAAACATCTAAAGAGAAGAACCCCTAAGTGACTCCAGAGAATGATGGTGACCAGATGGAGATGGAGAAGAGGTATGCACTGGTGGAGCCTGGAAATCAGGCTCCACCAGAGGCCTACCTAGTCCAGCTACAGGCAAAGGCCCATCCTACGAAGACTGTCGCTCGCGCGCGCGCAAAAAAAAAAAAAAAAAAAAAAAAAAAAAAAAAAAAAAAAAAAAAAAAAAAAAAAAAAAAAAAAAAAAAGGGGGGGGGGGGGGGCAAAAAGGTGAGGCAAGCAAGTCAATTAAGGAGCAAGCCGAGTGAATCTAGAGCCTGAACCGGCATGAGACAGGCAAAGAAGTCCGCCAATGCCCCTCAAAGGAGGGAACCAACTTGGTAAGAGCCACAAGGCAGCAACACCTGGCACTAAAGTTAAAACATTCAGGTCACCCTAGAGCTGGTCCAAGACCAGCTCAACTATAACCCAGATGTGTAAAATGGCTGCCAAGTAAGCATGGGCACTGTGATCCTCCATGGTGTGGACCCCAGAGAACAAAGGCAGCCAGACATAGCTGTCACCTACTCATGTCACATTTTCTTTCCAGCCCCAGGGCAAAGAGGAAGCGAGGTCACATGCACCTTGCCATAGTAGCCAGGTCACACCTCCATTGAACATTTCTTATAAATAATGCTCACCCACTGTGCACAGCCATAGATTTATTATTGAATACATACAAATAACAATACATACAGTAAGCAAATGGCTTTCACTGGAAAGAGTCCAAAGGATGGCCTCACTTATTTGTAAAGAACTAGGACCTGCTAAAGCCAGCAACTCAAAGAGTGATTCACACTTGGGATGTCAACAGGGCAGCTCTGTTGACATGGGGAGCCAGAGCTCCTGGTGCTGGAACTAGGGGATTTGACTAACTGCAGGTGGATCAATTGCAGTCTTTGCCGCTTTGTTTCTTTTCTTTCTGTAAACCTTGCTGTTGTCTGTTCTGCTTCACTTACTTTCTAGATGTTTTCTTGGTGAAGATGACCATAAGAACCCCTGCTCCCTTTATCCGAGGGGGCCAGACTCTGGTTTCTAGTAGGCCATTAAGGACACCTAAGGCTGATATGATGAATACGTATACAGCTAAGTAAGCCAGCTACAGAGGGCCACCATTTGACCAATCCAGAAATAAAGATATGAAGAAAAGTCAGAATTGTTGCCTAAGAAGATATATTTATAAGGCTTATAATGAGGTTATTTATGTGTGGTTAAACCATGGCTCATAGGCCATAACTAGTATCATCCAGGTCAGTGGTGTGGCAAATAAGATGCAAACTAATCTGAAAAATTGTTGACTACATGACTCAAAACATATAATTTACCTTCTCTGTAAAAGTTGTTCCTTGAGGAAATCTCTTCATGTCAATACTTCTTCCAAAATCAATAAGCTTAAGCGAGACAGGACACTCTGCAAACATCTCGGCTGGCGTAGTGGCACTTTTGTTGATCTTTGGAATTTCCCGAATAAGGAAATTGTCAGGTTTTACATCTGCATGTATGATGCTACAGCTATGCAGTGCTTCCAGGACTGACAATACTTCTATAATAAAGTACATTGCAATTTCCTCGGGTATGGACTTCCCTGCAGTCTTATAACTAGAGGAAAAAAATAATATTTGTATGATTTTCATAACATAGTAGATAACCTAACTGCATGTAGATGACCTAAGTCAACATGAAAAAAAATTGATTATGGTAAAATTTATTGTTCAACTATTATTACAGCTATTGTTCAACTGCAAGAGGCAAACAGAGCTTCAGATAGAGTGGTGGAGTAGCACAATGCAGAAGTAATAGCAATATTGAAATGTTTAGCAGAAGACAATGCATACACTTGGGACAAGTTTGTTGATAGAGTAGTCGGCGGCAAACACGGCTAATAACAGATCTAGAGGGGATACTCCTTATTTCTTGATGCATGGGTTTGATCACAGGTTGCCATATGAAACCTTCACCAGTGCTCAACCACCTTCCTATGCTTTGGATTTCAGGAGTGTAGTCTGTCATCTTGCAGTAAAACTGTTTAATTTGATTAAATTGCACTTGAGGAAGTCAACAGCGGTGGAAGCTTATTACAACAGAAAAAACAAGGTCAAAGCAAAAGAAATTAAAGTGGGGAGATTGGATTTTCATCAAAAGGACGCAGACAGCATTAGAAGGTAAATAAGCAGCTAAATTTACAGGACCATGTAGAGTAACCAGCAGGAAGAATGTGGAAGAAACAATGAGTGCGATTAGTTCAGGCTATGAGTTTAACTGTCATCCTGACCGTGTTGGGGTGGTCGCAAATGCAAGGAACTGTATCCAAAAAAAAGGTAACAAGGCGTGGATATGGCAGATCAATGTACTAGAGAGTTGTTCGAAGATCAAAATGGAGTCACCTCACAAGGTGAGGAAAATGAGGGAGTTAGAAACTAGGAAGAATAGAGATATACAGAAATAAAGTACAGAAGAGCAGGCTGGTCTCCAACCAGGTCAAAACTAAGAGTCACTCATATATCACAAGTAGGGATATTAACCCTTAAACTGCTCAGCAAAAGGGTTAGGGAAGTGAAAAATATTAAAATTATGTAAAAATTACTTAAAAATGTTAAACAAATCTCCAACTTATTGGCTTCAGCGTCGCGAAACTTTCATCAAAATATTTTCAGAAATTGATTTTAGACGATTAAAAAAAAAAAAAAAAAAAAGAACGTTTTGTTGATAAGGAGAACAGCTCCTATTAACTAGAACTGATGGATAGTGCAGTAATAGAGAGATGCAAGCACCTGTCCAATGCACAAAGGAGAAGAATAGTAGTAAGAAGTGTCCACAAAGTGGATATGCAACTGGTACTTTTATAGTATTGCCGAGTAATACATAATAACACAAATAATAATATGTTATTATGCTCTATTTTGTTATACATCATATAACTACATTGCCCAGTTTTAATATCTTATTTTCATCAATGTCCAATTTTTTTAGGGGATTATTTTTTTTAAGTTTTTAGTTTTCTTCTTTGTTTATTATCTGATTTTGTTGTAACCTTCGCATCCTGGAGAGTGCATACCAGTCCCTAACTATGTGAACATAGAATGAAATTGGTCAACAAATAAATCAAGTCAACTCGCAGAACTTGGGACTGAATATTTTTGGTCGAGTTTTTTTTTTACAGATTTCAAACTATTTTCTTTGTCTCTTTAGGTTGTTTTGATGATTAGAGACTGGTTTAGGGTTTTTTCACTCATATAAAGTATACCCTAGATGTATCCCGTAAATCATTACAATTATAATTATCCCAATATTTTATTTTTTTGGGGGTTATTTTTTTCTTGATTTCATTTCAACACACTCTGACCTACAACTTCACATATTCGAGTATGAATGCCAAATAATGTTTATTAAAACATACAAGTAAATTCATGAATTAGAACTGCCTTTAACATTGTCGATAACTTCAACTTCAACTATATCTATAACTAGAATTTCAACTTACTTCAGTATCCAAAAAACTAGTTTCTGACTGATTCTCAACAGTTTTACATATAGTGAGCACAGATGTCTGTTTTACAATCCCAATTAAATTGATTTTTCATAAACTCTAAACATTTAGTTATAAATTTTTGTTGTCTAAATTTCCGCATATTTCAAATGCCTTATTAACGATTTTTTTACAGTAAACTACTGAAAACATATACAGCTGTATTCTAAATATATGAAAATGAATATCATATGCTATTCTGAGAGCCTAATAACACCAAATGAACAATTGGTGATATTTTATATTTTTGTAGCTGATTTCAAAACTTGAAGTTTTCAATATTCAATTTTATAATTATTTGTTATTTTCTAGTTTTTCAAGTTACGATGGCATCATTAAGACACAGTTGGAGCATTTTCCTAGTAGATTATGCACAAAACATTTGAAAGCCTTTCAGCAAATTTTAAAAACTGAGCTCAATGTCTGACTTCATATGACGTTTTGCGTAACTTAAGGCTTAAAGGAACAATAAAGTGGAGATTGGTGATGGTATCGTTGTTCTTGTAGTTATGGTAATTTAGATTTGTTGTTGCCCTTGTGGTTGTAATTACCTAAGTGTAGTTACAGGATGAGAGCTACGCTCATGGTGTCCCGTCTTCCCAGCACTCTGTCGTATAAAGCTTTGAAAGTACTGACGGTTTTGGCCTCCACCACTTGCTCACCTAACTTGTTCCAACCATCTACCACTCTGTTTACAAAGTGAATTTTCTTATATTTCTTTGGCTGTTTTGTATAGTTAGTTTAAATCTAAGACCTCTTGTCCTCAAAGTTCCAGGTCTCAAGAAATCTTCCCTATCAATTTTATCGATTCCTGTACTATCTTGTACGTAGTGATCATATCACCTCTTTTTCTTCTGTCTTCTAGTTTTGGCATATTTAATGCCTCTAACCTCTCCTCGTAGCTCTTGCCCTTCAGTTCTGGGAGCCACTTAGTGGCATGTCTCTGTACCTTTTCCAATTTCTTGATGTGCTTCTTAAGATATGGGCACCATACAACTGCCGAATATTCTAGCTTTGGCCTAACAAAAGTCGTGAACAATTTCTTTAGTATTTCGCCATCCATGTATTTAAAAGCAATTCTGAAGTTAGAAAGCGTAGCATAGTAGCATGGAGTAGTTAATATGCACGTGTCGTCCTTGTGGTGATATGCACGTGTCGTCCTTGTGGTGATATGCACGTGTCGTCCTTGTGGTAATATGCACGTGTCGTCCTTGTGGTGATATGCACGTGTCGTCCTTGTGGTTATGGTAATTTGGTAGTGGTCTTGTAGTTCTGGTAATTTGGTGTTGTCCTCCTTTTTGTGGCAATTTGGTGTTGTCCTTATGGTTGAGGAAATTTGGTGGTGTCTTTGTGGAAGTGGCAATTTGGATGTGGTGGTGTTGCTCTTGGGGTAATTACCTAAGTGTAGTTACAGGATGAGAGCGACACTTGTAGTGTCCCGTCTTCCCAGCACTCTGTCACATGACGCTTTGAAATTACTGACGGTTTTGGCCACCACCACTTTCTCCCCTAACTTGTTCCAACCGTCTACCACTCTGTTTACAAAAGTGAATTTTCTTGTATTTCTCTGGCAGCTTTGTTTCATTAGTTTAAATCTATAACCTCTTGTTCTTGAAGTTCCAGGTCTCAGGAATTCTTCCCAATCAATTTTAGGGATTCCTGTTACTATTGTGTACGCAGTGATCATATCTACCCTTTTTCTTCTATTTTCTAGTTTTTGCATATTTAATGCCTCCAACCTCTCCTTATAGCTCTTGTCCTTAAGTTCTGGGAGCCAAATTCCTTTATTTTCTATTTGTTATAATTGCTCTGGAAGCAGTGGACATAGATTTTTCAACTACTACTGCTTTCAGAGTATTCCTCCTGTTTACCACCATAAATGCATGCAGGTGTTTTCTTACTTCTTTGCATTCTAAGCTCCTCCTATGTTCTGTTGTCATATTCTCTTCATTTTGATATTTAGGCTGTCTTTGTCAATTCCCCTCAGAATATGTTTTGTAATGATCACAACCTCTATAGTCCTTCTCACACCTAAAATTGTTAGAGTTGGTTCCCTTAACTAATATCAACATTAACTTTTTGTTCCTAAAAATGTCAACAAAACTTCAGCATTCAAGGCAGTGAAAGGGGCTAAAAGCAAGAACATGTTTAAAATATATATTTTTTTAAACAAATGTACTTTTGCATGTGCAAACAAGAAATAAAATACAATTGTAAATATTGTTCGTAACTAAACAAAATAAATACATACCCATTAACAACATCCAACAGAGTTCCATACTTATGATACTGATTCACAAGAATGGAACCATTGGTGAAGAAATATCCCCTGTTTATTCTCATCACAGAATCGAGCATGTTTGCTGTATAAGCACACGATTTCAGGCGATTTCTTAGTTCGTGACAGATGTAAAACTCCCAGGGGCATGCTGGTTTCTGCACCTTCAGGATCATCTGGGGAAAATATCAGGCCTTAATAAAACAGTAACAGCCCCTTTCTGAGCAAGACACTCATTAGACAAGATCGCAATAGTCAGGGTAGGCTGATGCCTTACACTGGTGCAATGGGGATCTTTTTCTATGCCAGTTTTTGGTCATACTGGTGTTAGGGAAGAGCTGGATACAAGCTCAATGCACCCCCAGAGTTCCAACAGAAAGTTCACTCAAACACTAAGTTTCCTTAAGCCTTACTTAGCAATACAAATACTCCTGAACCACACAGAAATCACACTAACGTGATACATATCAATGAGAAAATTTACCAGGGCTGTGAAGTGATGTGAACCCATGACCCCAGCATTGCCAGTCGCGTACTCTACCACTGGACCATCAAAACTTGTGAAAATTCATACAATTGGATTTCTACTGAAATCATAGGAATTCTGGAGGCCCCTACTAAAGCTAGTCCACATTGGACCACAAAGGACCACTTTGCCCTTCCACCAGAGTGCTTGTGGGTCATATGTAAAAACTTGGACTGGCTTCAGTAGGGGCCTCCAGACTTCCTGTGATTTCAGGAAGTCATCCATTGTATGACTTTTACAAGCCACGGTGGTTCAGTGGTAGAGTAAGCGACGGCAATGCCGGGGTCGTAGGATCACACCACCTCACAGCCCAGGTGGATTTTGTCATTACAAATACTGCAACACTTTCGATCGTTAATAACACAGTATGTCATTAACGTCAAAAATTTATGTAGACGGATGTTCAGTAACAACTCGGTATTGCATCAAAAATTTAGTAGACGAATGTTAGGTAACAACGCAGTATGGCGTCAAAAATTAAAATATTTTGCCTGCTTTCAGCTTGGCTGCAGGAGGGGGTGCACTGCAGTTTTGGACATTATATGCATATACTCCTGTAGGGAATTTCATTGCGAATACATTGATACCAAAATGAAAGACCTAGGACGAGAATTGGGGTAACAAAGTTGAAAAGAGTATACATATTTTATTGCTCTTGAGCACTCACGGGGGTAATGGGCTTTCACTTTCTCCATTTGCTGTGTGTGGTACGCCGTGCTTCTGGACTTTATATATGCATATACTTCTGTAGGGAATTCTATTGCGAACACAATGATACCAAAATGAAAGACCAAGGATGAGGATTGAGGTGACCAAAGTGAAAAGAGTGTACACATTTTATTGCTCTTGTGCGCTCCCGGGTAACACGCTCTCACTTTCCCTGTTTTGTGTGGGTGGTACGCTGGGCTTTTGGACTTTATATGCATTTAATCCTGTAGAGAATTCAATTGCGAACACATTTATATCAAATTGATAACCCTACGACGAGAATTGAGATGACAAAGTTGAAAAAGAGTATACATTTTTCAGTAGTACCACATTCTCTAATGGAATGGCAGGCGCACCTTGAGGTGGCGCGGCGCTCTCTTGCCCAAAGCGCGAAAGTGTTAAGTAATGGTCTCGCCAACCCACCTGTTTCTTCCACCTATGCTCTACACTCAACTACCATCAGATAGAAGTGCCAATGTCAAGACTAAGTCAATTTTCTCAAGGCCCATATTCTACCCATCTTCTTTTGTGATCCCTCTCAATCCTGCAGTCTCATCTTCTGTATGTATTAATTATCCCAATTGCCTTCTTCAAATTGACTATGTAATTGAACACTGTCACTAATGCCACCTTGCTCCTCAAGTTTTAATACCCTAAATATCAGATTTACTTTGGGTGACCACCACCTCAAACACTGCTGGTTCATCCTCTCTTCTCTCCTCCTGTATTACCAGTATATGCTCCTTCAGTAAGTACCTACCTGTAGCATCCTATAATCTTGCCCCCTCTGTATGTACTATCTTCTGTCAATATCTTTCACAGCCCAGCTAATTTTCCTTTAGTCATCAGGAGCTCTGCCTATAATCCACCTTTCACTTTTTCTGGCCTTACACTATTTACAGTACTCACACTTCTACCTGGGATTCTAGCTTTTAGCTGAAGGATTATGTATGATTACTACAACTATCATTTTGTCCACTATGGTTATGACTATGATGCAGTCCTGTGGATTCGCACAACATCCATGTATGTTTCCTATGCAGACTATGAGTTACAATAACATGGCTGAAGATATGAAGACTAAACCACACACCAGAAAATGAGGAGACGTCGACGTTTTGATCCGACTTGGACCAATATCAAGTCGATTGTGATGGGAGCGAGGGATGCACAGCCATTAACCCTTACACTGCTCAGGGGTCATATGGACATTTACACCCCTGTGCGCAAGAAAAAAAAAATTCAAAATTTTTTTTTCGTCTTCTAAACATGTTAATTTGTGTCCCCCGAGCACGGAAAAAAAAAAAAAAAAAAAATCGTAGGTGACATATTTTGGGCGCAATTGACCGAGGAAGTCTGGCAAAAAGTGGGCGTTGACAGAGCGGTCGTCAGACCCGGTCAGCGTCACCCGCGTTGACAGATGGGAGTTGCCACAAAGATATTATTACCTAATTGTTTCAATGTCTCCAATTGATTTTTTCTTAGTTTTTTTGCAGTAATATTATTCAATAGTGTGTATTGTAATATATTTATATAATAAAAGTGGTTAATAATCGCTATACTCAAAAGTATGATGTGCATATTAGTGATTCAATTATTATGTTTATAAAACAATAAACAAATAGTTTTGCTGCTATTACACTCTATACACAGGTTATATATAAGTATTGGCATGTTTTGGTCACCATACCGAACCACTAAGTTGGTATTGAGAGTCGAAAAGCAACGAGGAGTTACCGCCACACACCAGCCAGCCACTCACTGCCACTCCCTCAACACACGCACTAAACTTTCTCCCCCAACAATACCAGTTGTGGTGTTATTATACTATATACAGACGTTATATATAAGTATGTGTATATTTTGTTCACCACAACTGTACAGCTAAGCTGATATAGTTAGTTCAGGCACTAAGAGTCGTCGCTATACACAGATGGCGGCTGGCGGCTCCCTCACTCTTTCAAAGTCACACGCACTAAACTTTCTCCCCCAACAATACCTTTTGCAGTGTTATTACCCTATATACACATATTATATATAAATATCTACATGTTTTATGCACCGTAACTGTACACCTAAGCTTGTAGAGCGCCCAAAGAGCATAGTGGCCACCCTCTAAACAGCTAGACAAATCGTGCAGACGACGTCACCTCCGTCACCCATATGGCTCCTCCCAGCATAATCCTTTTGCTGTTATTACACTAATACACACATTATATATAAGTATCTACATTTGTGTTCACCATAGAGAACCACTGACCTGGTATGGTGAACGCAAACAATAACAGGTGGCCACACAGTCAGTAAACGATGCTGTCTCCCTCCGTCTCTCAGCATCACTCCTCACACAGCACTAATTATTACAACAATCCTGCTATTATCACAACCCTGGTTATTTATATCACAGTCATTGGTCATCTGTAATATTGTCATCGCTAAATAATAACAATTATATATTTATTTTGACATTTTTCGGCGATGCTGTGGTCACAAGCTGAACATCAATGCTGTTCGCTCATGCTGCGTGCGCCGGCCTTGGTTGCTCCAACAGTACTGTACCTCTCACACCTGAGAATATTGCCCACGATTTTTTTTTAAAATGGCATCTGTTTACAAGAGCCCTGAGGAAGCTACTGTGAACCCCATGTAGCCGCGGGCCATTTGAATCAGGCCTGGCACCCTATGGCGTATATATACGCCATGTGCACCATGGGACATGTTACTCAGGGCGTATATATACGCCATGCGCAGTTTAAGGGTTAAGCAAAGCAAGAGAGAGGTGAGGAGGAGGAAATTCTAAGAGGAAGGTGGGGATGGGATGGGTTTAATAAAGGGGTGTAAAAGGGGTAATATTGGGTATATGAATTGGAATGTAAGACTAAGAGGAGGAAACAAAAGAAAAAAGAAAGAGGAAAAAGGATGGGTAGGCTTCTGTTAGGTCATGTTTGTTAGAAAGTTTAGAGCATTTGACTATATACTGTCAAAGGGAAGTGTCAATAGCAACAAAGCCAGGACTAAGGATCATGTTAGGTGTGTTGTGTATCAGATCCGATTTGCTAAAACGGCATCTGTGAAGAGTAGAGGCAGGAAAGATTACTTTCGAAGAAGACCAATCAAGAGGACGATTAGAATCCCTAACATGACAGAAGAGAGCATTGTTTGTGTCTGCAGACTTATCACTTCTTTTGTGTGCCTTAAGTCTGTCATTTAGTGTACAGCCGAGGGTTCTCCTCTCTTCCCTGTTCTTGCCTATCTCTATATGGAATATTTTGAAACCATTCTTCTTCTCACTACTGATACTCGTTCCTCTCTCTGGCTTCGCTATGTTGATGACATTTTTGCTTTATGGCCTCATGACCTTAGTCTTTTCCATCCTTCTCTCTCTCAACAATCTGGCTGCTCCTATCTATTTCAAAGTTGAATGAGAATCTAATTCCCTCCTTCCTGTTATTGACGTTCATGTTCAAAGCTCTGTGACCGGCTTATCTTTTTCGCTCTACTGTAAACCCAGGTATAGTGTTATGTACATTCACCTCTTTTCCTACCATCATCCTCCTATTAAGAAAAGTGGTCTCAACTCTTCCTCCGAACTCTAAGCATCAGTGACCCTCAGTTCATTGATTCGGAAATATCCTTTATTTACAAATCTCTCTTCCCCCTTGGTTACCTCTTACACTTTATCAACTGTACCTATTCTCAAGCTAAATAAAATTTCTTTCATCCCAAACCTGTTTCCAACACTAGTACCACTGTGCTCTGCCTTCCCTTCACAACTGAACTAAAAAATCTTACTAATACCATTCGTCCTCTAGACAAAGCTTGCCTTTTGACAAACACTCTTCATAGTACAGTAATCTGGTTCACCATGCTCCTCCTGATTCCAATGCTGCTGGTGTCTACTCTATTTCCTGTTCGTCTTGTTGTCTCTAATACTTTGGGGCA